AACTGTGTTTTTAGTGTTTTCAACTCAACGTTTTGGGAACGTTTGTTTCTGTGGAAATGCAGCCTCATCTTTATGATGGGAGTCAGTGGGTAGATCAGACCCTTGATGGGTAAATGTTCAAATTTTGTTTGGTTAAAATACAATTTCCCTCTATTAAAACATCTCTCTGAATTTCAGACTCCACTGAGATATACAAAGACATTGTTGCTTCCGGTTGTTCTTGTAGTGTTTATTGCAATTGTGGGAAAGGTACGTCTTTCAGTTAAGAACTCTTTCTTATAATAAAATTTTTCTTGTTTTTGCATAGTAGTTACATATACTTGGCTACATGTTAATCTGATATAGTAAGTTGCGTATGGGTTTATTGAAACCTATTCTTAGTAGTCTCCTTTAATGGACATTTGCAAGTCTAAAAAAATATTCTTCTATCTGCTAGCATAAAATAGACATAGGATGAGGATGGCTCAAGTTTTGATAGTCATGTATTTTGGAAGACATGATCAGAGACCATATTGACTCAAATACAACTTGTCTTTGCCAATGTAAATTATTACTGACTCACTTTTAACTTTTATATAGTATTTTCCTAAAATATTTAATATATGCCTTTCTAAGTGATTTGTGTAGTGTTCAATAACTCCTGGGTTGTGTTTATTATTAATCAAAAAGAAAAAAATAGAGTACAATTGGTCCTTTGTATCCATGGGTACTGCATCTATGGATTCAAGCAACTGGAGATTGGAAAATATTCAGAAAAGAATTGTATCTGTACAGACTTTTTTTTCCTTGTTCTTTAAATAATACAGTGTAACAACTATTTACATGGCATTTACATTGTATTAGGTATTATAAGTAATCTAGAAATGTGCATAGGTTACATGCAAATACTACACCATTTTATATCAGGGACTCGAGCATCACAGATTTTGGTATCCACAAGAGGTCCTGGAACCAATCCCCCATGGATAACAAGGGATGAGATGACCGTATTAACAAAATACTGATAAAATGTATAAAATGTTTAGGCCCCCAGCTTGGTTTTGATAATAAAATTCTAAGCCCCATTGTAAATTAGGTCAGAGGAGCACCAGTCCTCAGGGAAGAAGAGCAGGTATGATGGGAAATTCTAAGCCCCGTTGTAAATTAGGTCAGAGGAGCACCAGTCCTCAGGGAAGAAGAGCAGGTATGATGGTCTCTTTTTTTCTTTTAAGAGTTTATGAACTCTGTAACTGCACTTGTCTTAAATGAACTGAGATCAATCTATGATAGAAAAAGTAGATGGCAGACCCTAAAAGTTTTCTGATTTATATAGCTAGTGATTTCAGTGTTAACACAGTGTCATATACGAGGGAACTTCAAACAGTTCATGGAAAAATAGAAATAAAAGATAATACGGATATATCTGAACGTTTTGGAGTCCCCTTATCTTTGTAGACTATTCTGCACTGTAACTACCATTCACATTATATATTTATGCTGTGTTTTGTACTCTCTCAAGACATTTTTCACAGGTGTATTTCATTTGGTTATTCAATAGCCCTGCAACAGCCTTGTGGGGTCAACAGATATTATCATCCCCATTTTGACACTTGCAGAATCGAAAGATCAGAGAGGTTGTCAGCAGCCTTTCTTCATGTCCGCTAAAAAGCAAGGGGAGACTGAGACTCGGGCTGTGCACCTTCCCGCTCAGTGGGTGTCGCAGGGTATTCAGCTTTGTATTCTCACAGCACTTCTCAACTCCAGTCAGTTATTTGTCAGTTCCTGCTGTGTGCCAGGCTCTGTGCTTGCCTTGCACACATATGCTTTGTGTGGTTTTGTACCTAGTAGGTCCTCAAAAAGTACTAGACATTGCCCATCCTGAATGTATTCAAAAGACAGCAACCTGGATGGTGGGAACTAATGGAAACTATTAGCTGGGCTGTTTGGTTTAAAGAAGAAAAGTTTCAAAGGAGGAGAATAATTATTTTCAAATATTTAAAAGCCTGCCACATGAAAATAAGATTACAGTCATTCTGGTGCCTTAGAGTTATGGCCACTTCCACGAGGTAGGACTTTTGACCGTAATTGATCTGGATCAATTAGTAAAGTAGTATGGATTCAAGCAGCAGCTGGGCCATTCTTCCAAGGACTAAGTTAAAACCTGTCAGCAGTGTCATAGAGAATATTCATACCAGGGGTAGCATTTCGGATTAGATGACCTCCCAGTTACTACTAAATATGAAAGCACAGTGAGTGCGTTTCAAATGCTTCTTGCTGTGATTATCAGTCTCTGAGCTAATTCTCCAGTCTTGTGTGTGCATATGGAGGGGACGTATTGCCAACAATCCTGGCATGGTGGAAGCAGCACTGCCGTGAACTTGAAGCCAGAAAATCTGGCTTCCCCACCCAGCAGTGCTTCTTAGTAGTTGCCCATCTTCAGGGAGATCATTTAATCCATCCGAACCTATTGCTCATTTACAAAAGGATAAAATAATAATCTACCTAACAGGGTTGAGTATTAGATATGATCAAATACTGTACAAATATAACATTAAGTGGTTGTTACTGTTATTTTCTTAGTTATCTCTTATCTTTGTACTGCTCATATTTCTAACTAGAAATTTTTAAAGTTTAGAAAATACTGCAGTTAAATATTTTTTTCCCAAAACAGCTTGTCTAAAGTGTTTAAAAATCTATTTACAGATTATTAGTGATATCTGGAGCGTGTTAGCTAAGCAACAGACACATGTAAGGTAAATATGCTATGAAGAATTTTGTTACCTCCTCTGTTCATTTATTGAATAGATATTTACAGTGTATTAATTTTATACCTACGTGTACAGTCAGCATTTGATAATTGGTGTTTTCCGTTGCTGTCATTCCCTGTCTTGGCTTTTCTCATTCCCTATTTGTGCAGAGCAGAGAACATCACTTATTCATCCCTCAGATCTCATCCAGTATAATCTGACAGTAGCAGATTATGTGTAGAACACTTAAAGGACACGGCCTTGTACTTCAGTTCAGCTGGGAAAATAAATTAATTTGTGAGTGGTTTAGAAATGAGCAGGGTAATATGAAACTGGACTCATATCTCACTTTTTACACAAAATAAATTCCAGATGGAGCAAAGAGTTTAATATGGAAAAATGTGAAACTCTAAAATTAACCGAGAGAATATGTTTATAATCTTAGAGAGGCCTTGTTAAGCATTACATAAACTTATATGTTAAAAGGAAAGGTTGACACAGTAGACCAGATAAATACTTTGGTTTGGTAAAAGATACTGTAAACATTTGCTCAAAGAAAAAGGACAGATTGGGGAAAATATTTGCAACATATGACACGGAACTAATGACTGTCGTATATAAAGAACTTCTACAAGTTAATAAGAAAAATGCTAAAAACTCACTAGAAAACTGAGTGCAGGACACATAAAGGCGTTTGAGAGAAAAGTCATTTCTCCTTTCCCCCTGCATTCAGGTCCTATGTATCTTCTTTTTGTTCTTTAGCAATGACAGATTGTTTCCTGTCTCTGCAGCTTTGCAGGAGGAACCGCCTATGACCATGATTGTGCCCCCTCCNTGTTTCCTGTCTCTGCAGCTTTGCAGGAGGAACCGCCTATGACCATGATTGTGCCCCCTCCTGTCCCTGACAGCCAGGCTCTTTGCATGGCTAACTTCTTTATCCTTGCTTAAATGTCACCTTCTTCAAGAGACCTTTTCTGACCATTTATGAGTAGATCCCTTATCTCTTTGCTTGCTATTTTTCACCATAGCATGCTTTCTCTTCCTCTCTTACCATTTATCACCACTTGGACTTAAATACTGATGTGTTACCTGTATGTTCTGAAGGGAGAAATGATTTCTGTTCGGTTCAACAGTTTATATACAGTGCCTGGTACATAGTAAAGAATAGTGGTTGAATGAGTTAATGTTTACACATGGCTAAGGACACATGGAAAGGTGCTCAGTCCTGTGATAAAGACATTCACATTAAAGTGAAAACGCTTTTACTTATCAGATTTGTAAATATTAATAATATTCAGTGCTTTCAAGAATGGGAGGAGAATGTTGGGAGGACAGTTTAGCAGTACATAGCAAGACATGCCGTGGACCCGTAGTCTGGCAGTACCACCACTGCAAGTGTATCCTGTAAAAATGCTCACAAAATGCAGAGATCATGGTAAAAAGATGCTTATTGTGTGTAATGTGAAATATGGAAAGAACCAAAATATATCTATTAGTAAGGCATTGATTTAATTACGATCCAGTCATAGAGTGGAATGTTGGGCCATCTTTATGTATGTAAATAGTCCCATCATACACCATTAAATAAAACATTTAAGCAGTAAGCATAGGATGATTGCACTTTTGTTTAAAATATGGAAATTTTATATGTTTCTTTGTACATAGGAATGATCTAGAAGGATAAAGCCTGTAACTATTAAGAGTGTGGGATTGGAGGATGCCGTGAAGGAAGTTTGAATTTTTGGAGAGTAGGGATT